ATGATAATGGACAAGTGCGAATTGTCGTCCTTGCAGAGCTCATTGTGGTGTTTCTCAATTAATGCGTGCATGGCGTACACTTCATTGAGCGTGATGGAGAGCTCCGAGGTCCTTTTTCCGACAACGCCCCCGTAGTTGTCCATTTCCAAGCTCTCATAGAAATCTTGTACTTCACAAAGGTCTAGCATGAACTTATTGACGCGATCTTTGTTTGCCTGGATGAACGGCTGGAGCTTGGACATGTACGGCTCCCTTGGCGTACGAAGGCTTGTTAGCAAGGTTTTGCAACATCTTGGCGATGTATGTCAGTGTCCTCCTTGGCCGCTCCGCTGGCTGTCCGTCGATGAGCATGTACGACTTGGGCGTCACGATGGCCGGGTTGATAAACCGAAGGAAGAAGAACCCTCCTATGAGCGTACAGATGACCTGGTCATTGGCGTCAGGGTACTTCCGCTTCGTTAGACTTCGAATCTGCTTGCAGATCCAGCGGATGCCGTACGGCGCCTCCTCGAGTCCATCGATGATGGTCGTGAGGAAGTTGTTAGCAATCTCCGTCAGCATCGTCAGACGCGGCTCAATGATGGCTTGGACTTGTGGGTTCTCAGCGGCTTGCTCGCCCGTAATGCCCTTGGGTAGTGAAGGCGGCAAGCTACCAGTATCCTCCTCAATTTGCTCAATCATGCGTTCGTAAACCTTAAGAGGGTTAATTTCCAGGTCAAGCTCCTTGAGTTCGATCAAGTTGTTGATTCTGTCCGCCAAGACGGTCTTCAGGAAGCTCTGGCCAGGACCTCGGCGGGTATACGTCGTCATCATGCGGGAGACGGGCGTATTGGCACGCAATAGCGACGAGTATTCGGGCGTGTTATCGAATTGGTAGGTGAGAACAGACTGTCGTTGATTAGACACGATATATTCAACGAGCTAGAATCGAGTACATACCTGGAACATGGTCAGGAGGAGATGTTCTTCTCTACTCTCATACTGGTTTCCGTAAATGGTGAACATGACGGTCTGTAGCAGCGAATCGATCTCAGACATGGAGACGAGCCGGCAGAGGTGCGCGATGTGTCGAGGCTCAGACTGTAGAAGAAACATGAGGTTCCCGTACTTTTGCGTCTTGTCGTCGTTGGGAAAGGCACCCTCTTGCATATCGGTGGCATCCTCGAGGTGGCTAGCGACCTCATTTTGCTCCTCGAGTGCATGCGGTTCTGAATAAGCAGTGCGATACGCGAGTCGAGATAGCGCACATCTTTCTCGAGCACAAAGTTCTTCTTGGACTGGGAAGAGATCTTGGACTTGAGCTCCCGCAGTATCTTCTGGGCTGGGTAGCGTTAGCAGTGCACCGGCATAACATGTGAGTAGAAGAAGACCGAGCACGCACCCTTTGCTAGGTCATCCTCAATTTCAAGCTCGCCATCGTTCGCTGACATGGACATGTACAGCGCGGACATGGAATACCGCTTGGACTGGCGGGCGGACCGCGAGCCATCATAGGAAGACATGGTGTTTTGTCGGGAGAGAGGCTGGAAGGAAGACGAAGAGGCAGTCGATGCGCGGGAGGGAGCTTGCAGCATCACGGACATGATGGCAAGAGGTCGCGTATGGTCGAGGCGGCGCAATGGGGAATCAGGCTGGCGCGCCCGATAGAGCCCCTAGGACGTCACGGCGCTCGAGTCGTCGTTGGGGCCAAGGGAAGGCTGGCGCCGAAGGAAGCTCGGGATGCAACGGCAGATAAGAGGTGAGAACGGGCTGGCGGAGAAGCAGAAGTCGCACGCTGAGGTCGCGGTCGTCCGGCAACGATTTTGAGTTTTCGGGCAACTGTCTCGGTCTGGACAGCAGGAGGCTGGTCGCACAATCAGGCCGCAGGGGCGTCGATGGCCGATTTCAACGGGATACCGGTCGGCTTCTTTCAATTAGAAATCGGAAATTCAGCGAGACTGGGACGTCGATTGCGAGCCTTGAGGGCTGTGGTCGGGGTGTTTGCTAAAGGTTTGAGGACAAGTGACTGTGCTCTGCCAACGCGGATAGCCTGTCGTGTTTGGCGGCGGGGAATTGGCGACAAAGTGTCCAGGCTGTGTTCGTGCAGTCGAATGAAGCGTCGAGCATGCAATTCCAGAGTGCGGCTTGATATGGCTGAATATCGTGTCGTCTCTGGAACGGAGACAAGATTGGGATATGGGAGTGGGTGGTCGGATGAGGAATTATGGCTATCAAGGAGGGGAACCTTGACAGCGTAGGTCGGCGTGAGGGCAAGAAGTGCAAGAAGGAAGAGAGGGGGGGCTTGCAGGTGGTGCTGTGCAGCAGACGATGGGCGGACCAGGGTCATAAAGTGCGTACACGGAAAGGTGAAAGATGGATAAGGTCACGGTCACAGGCCGCTGGTGGAGGAAGAGGAGGGACTACAGGCGCGAGATGATGGCGGGTGTGTGGCAGTGGATGAGCGGTGGATAGGAGGAAAGGGGAGGAGACATCAGATGCATAGTGAGGGGGGGATTCCGCAGGCACAAGCAGATGCAGGCAGGTGCAGCGCCGAGAGGAGGGTACAGTGCACGGAGCCTAGAGCACAAGAGATACATGTAAGGGACTCGCCCTTTCCCTGCCAGCGCCAGATGAATGGCAAGTACCGCCTGGCGACGGACGGCTTGGGCAGCATGAGGCAGGGGCTAGGAGGGGGGATGGGCAGGTCCGCTGTTGCACAATTTGGGATTAGAGGGGCGTTGCACCCTGAACGGTTTAAAAGGGTGGGACTGGGGGTTGAGCAGCTTCTCTGACTGGCTAAACCTCTTTGGTGCCTGGCCTGTGCGGGCTCTGTACCTGAACTGGACAGGTCCTTGCTCCCTTCGTCTCCACTCACCTTGTCTCTCGTGTCTCTGGCCCGACTCTCGTCCTTGACCTGTTCCCTGTCTTGGTCCTTTACCCTCTTCCAGCAAACACTTGTCGCCATCCATCGTAACAGTTCGGGCCATCATCCATGCACACCTTGTCCATTTGTGTCTGTTGCTGTTTGGGTCCTCAGCCGTCTTTGTCCGAACCCTTGAACGAGCACGGGTTACTGACGACAGACTGGTCACGGCGAATCAAGCTGGATAACCAGACACCACGAATATATGTTTGAGGACGCTGCAGGGGGTCGACACATGCCGTGTGAGATTCCAAGAGGGGGGATCGTCACGCGCCTTGAGTGGTCGACAGTGCACCACACCTCCCAGGCCACGTACCTGAGAGTAGCACCACCGTATCTGACCCCTCACACTACCAGCCTTTCGCTTGTCTTCAAGGTGCCACTGGTCCAGGTGTGTGTGTGTGTCTGTGTCGTGCTGTCTTCAGGTCGTCACCGAATCCGATAACAGTGCGTATCGAAGGGTTCGCCGCCGACATGTTTTGCGCGTCCGGCCAGTCCATGATTCGCACAGTGGTTCCATCCAGACGGCAAAAACTTGAGACTCGAGGAGCTTCATTCGACCCCGTCGACCCGACTGTTAGGCTCCATCTAGTCGCTGACTGCATCGCACAGTCCCCAGTGTGATGGGACCATACCTTGCATAGAACCTTTTCATGCACACCAGCCGCGCATGACGGCTGACGGGCTTGAAACAGACAGGCATCATCAGGCTCTGCTATCGTCTTACGACTTCGCCTTTGTGATGATGGATTGTGTGTAACCTGCTTCCGTGGCTGCTACCGCTACCTCATCTCGACGATATTCCTCAAGCCGACATACTACACCTGTCGGTATGCGAGGGGTCGGACCCCTGGCGCCAAAGCCAACAACGCTAGGATCTCCTCCAAGCATTCTGAGAACCTGTTTCTTTGATCTCTTCTCTGGGCAGGCGGAGCACTGGAGCCAGTCCGCGTCTGTGCCTAATATCCATGTCAGTCACGTATTAGTTGTCACCCCCCTCAGCCGCGGTCACAAAAGATGACCTGACTGGGATGGGGTCGGTTCAATCAGAACAAGAGCGCCGACACGTCCGCAAGCTCTCTTTTGCCATGCCACTTTCTGTGCTGGCTCAATTGGGAGAATACTGGGAGAGGACGCCTTTCCGAAACTCTCGTCGCGGAGCTCGATCCTTGTCCGAACCATTGAACCGATGCAAGAGTCATGGAAACCTCGGTGGCTCTCATCACACAGAGCATCACACTCAGTAGCCAGAGTGATGAGATCAGTCAGCCCTGCAAGGATAGCCTCTCGCGCCACGTTATCGGGTTTGCCATAATCAGCGCGGTCTCTATTCCGCCACCCCAACTCGCGACCGTCGACGATATTCAAGCTTCGGTAATGTTCCTCATTCAGGCGCCCATTGGATAAATGTTCGCGCTAGCTACGGCGACGGCCTCTTTCAGACATCGCCTCTGCAACCCCTTTGGTATTAACGTCCCTCGGAGCGGCCGATTGGCGATCATCAGCCATCGTTGTAAGCAGCGCAAACACGATTCGTCAGCTTCTCGCGCGCGGAGGCTTTGCAGCCGCATCACCAAGCACCGAGAAAGCAGGATCCCTAGCTTGGGCTACATATTCCAGCTCCAGTGAGAAACACCACGGATGGCTCAGGCCTTGCCCATGGAAATGATCGTGAGCATCTATCACCCACCTCGATTGCCAGCTCGATGTCCCAGCTCGATGTCCAGCGCCCGACTTCTGGGCGTGCCTTCATCACGGCTGAATCGCCACAGTTCAAGCCAAGTCGCGGGTTCGTGACTGCCAGCTGCCCGTTCAAGGACGCCGTCGGTGGGGGTGTATGACAGACGAACTTTTCGTACCTGCAGCTCACGTGTCGGCAGACGGACTTCTCGGCCCCAGTTAGTCGGCCCCGCAGCTTTGTGGGGATGCTCATTCAATACCCTTTTCACTGCAGCACCTTTTTGCCGAACGCTGGACACCTGGCATCGGTATCATTCCGTTCGCAGTTATCGACCTATCTTTTTGTTGGCTGGATGGCCTCAAACTGGCTTGCAAGATCGTCGTGTCACTACTCGCCACAACGACGCTCCCTGTGCATCCAAATCTCAATACCCGGTCGTGGCTCGCGCTCTGATGATCGACTCCACCAACGCGATCTGTGCGCTTTGTGCCTATTGACACCGTCGCCCGATTTGGGCGACCAAGGGCGCTCCCTTTCTTGTTGGTTGGCGCCTCTCCTAAAACGTCGACTTGAAACATTTGAGTCGAGCGGTTCAGGGTATTACCCGAGCTTGGCTGCAGCGGCGAGGGTGGCTGAGCTCAGATTCCAGGCGCACATGTTCGTGGCACACTTGACAGTGGACTGACAGGAAAGGCGTTGCTCATGAATTCCAGTGTGAACAAAAGCTCGCTTGGTTGGGTCAGTCGACCTACAGAATCGAGCACGACCGGGGCACTCGGCGGGGCTACCACAATTCATCGTCGATTCGAGAGGCTCGCCGAGATGAGACAGCTCCTCGTGATAATCTTGCACATCTGCGAAACACCGCGTCAGGCGCCGTTGCACTTGACAAGATCATATGACCGTCAAATGAAGCAGCCTGGTTCAATGATGACGACAAGGAGTTGCCTGCCCCCTTGTGGCCGAAAGGTTCAAGCCTCGACGGTCGAGGTCATCGTTCGACTTTTCAAACGTGGGCATCCAGCGTAAAGCGTCAGTCAGGACATTCCTTTTTCAGGGTCCAGAGAGCATTCTTGGCACTGAAACGAACCGCGACGGGCCGACTGCCGGGGTTCACCAGGTTGATCCCGTGCCAGCGATCATGGGTGGTCGGTGAGTGATCGCCTGGAGACTTTTGCAATGAGGGCACTTGATTCTCGTCGCGATCAGTCAAGGCTGCGAGGTGTCGGTGAAGCTTATTTTTCACGACCACCTAGCTGTTGTCGAGCTGCCAAGGTCACTCAGATTACATTCTCAATGCTCGCGAGCGATGAAGATTCTGACCAGTCCAGTTGACCGCCGGTGCGCATTTCAATAAGCGCACCGCGACAGTCTACCAAGCCTGTCCATCATGAAGGCACACCGAGCAGAGGTTGGTCGTTTGGTGCCCTTAAATACCACAACGCCATGGACATTTGCTGGTCGGGTGGCCCCCCGCGTGCCTAGGACAGGGCTTCCATCTTCGCGGAGTTTTCGTTTCCTTCAGCAGGAGAGCTGTCTTGTTTACAATTTTCGCCATCACAACGCAGGCGTATAATTTCGAAATAGTTACCCTGTAATGCACGCTCTAGTCTTGAATTTCTACGAAGATGTTATATTGGTTAGGGGCCCCCGTGTCTCCCGGAACTAGATCATCGGACAGTCAATCATCAGAACAGCACAGATGGGCTCATTAAATTATCTGAGCATCACCAGTATGCTGCTCAGTGTGTTGCGCTCGTTCATATCAGATGGATGACGGATTCTCGCGCAACTCGGTTGATGGCCAGGGCAATGATCATTCGCTTTGACCGAGGGATAACTATGTAGCCCTAAGCTTTGCCTTTGGGACTTCATTACGAGCTACGTAGGGAGATTATTCAATCCGAAGTTGAAGAGCTTCTATAGCTTTCACATTCATGCGACCTTTGAAGCACAAGCTCTCCATCCATTAAACGAGCTTCTTCCATGCGTGTGATCCGACGAGCCTGCCACAGTGGGCGTCATATTTGATTTGAGGTAGCCAAGGCCCACACATTCAGGACGTGCTATTCAAGAAATGATGCATTTTTCAAAGCCGAACCTCGCGATGGCCACTAAATCATGAGGTCAATCACTGTGAATCGGCCAGCTTGGCCGCAGGTTTCAGAAAGGTGAGCGACAGGCAACTGGTCACAGCTGGTCGACAGGTGATGTCATGAATCACGTCAATCATTGGCACTAGCTAAGCGACGTGGCTCAAGCTCAAGCTCCAAGCTCCTCGTTGCCTCAGACATCGTCAGAGCCTCATTAAACTTCAAACCCCTCCTCAATTCCCTTCATTCCCCATCAAAAAACGACTCATCCTCTAGCGATAGCTCGGTTCACTACCAATCAGAAGAAATGGCTTTCCGTGCTGTCACTAGAAGAGCCGCCTTTGCCCGCCCCGCCGTCGCGGCGCGTGCATTTCACTCGACCCCCCGGGCCTTCGTCCGTGTGGGCGATGAGATTCCCGACCTCAATGTTCTTGTCGAGGACTCGCCCGCCAACAAGGTCAACCTCGCCGACGAGTTCAAGTCGGCTAATGGCCTGATCATTGGCGTGCCCGCTGCCTTCTCGGGCACTTGCTCGGCGAGCCATGTGCCCTCGTACATCAACCACCCCAAGCTCAAGGAAGCGGGCTCGGTGTTTGTCGTCTCGGTCAACGACCCCTTTGTGTGGGTGCTTCCTCTCCCCGCCGCGAAACGGAATGATTTGCAGCTGACCTCGAGAAGCATGAAGGCGTGGGCCGACCAGATGGACCCGGCACAGCAGACGGGAGTGAGTTTTCCCTTCGCAGAGATCTATCTGCCTTTTGGTCAATAGCAAGGACGCAGAGCTGACGAGTCCAGATTCGATTCCTCGGCGACCCGACGGCCGAGTTCACCAAGGCGCTGGACCTTGGCTGGGATGGCTCGGCCATCTTCGGCGGCATCCGCAGCAAGCGTTACGCGCTGGTCGTTGAGAATGGCACGGTCAAGTCGGCTCACGTTGAACCTGACAACACGGGCACGGCTGTCTCGATGGCTGACAAGGTGCTTGGCTAAGCATATGAAAGTGGGCAGTGTGAGAGCGAACAGCGCTCGGATAATGGCCTGCCTGGCACACGCTGGAGCTGTATGGGTAGACTAAAACGGTAGGCACGTCAACATCTGATCGTGTAAGCCCATGAGGGCCTACTTGGCAGCAGATGATTTCCGTACCTGGGACTGTGTGGTTGATGAGCTACACACTCGCCCATACCTACATGCATGCCTTACGTTACCTAGGTCCCTTATGCCTGATGGTCAATTCTTTGACACAATTAAGGGCCCGAAGCAGACTGGGCATTCAGTGCAGAGTCTGAGGCAGCAAAAGCAATGTGCCCTTCCTTCTTTCCTCCCAGCTTGGTCTGGTCGCAGTACCTGCCCCGCAGCCGGACCCCCGCCGGAAGCGGCGACCTGCCCGCCCGCCCAATGAGAGTGTGTCGCGGCCACCCATCGCGCTTGCTGTCATAGCAACGTCAGGGGTCGAAGAGCCACGAGGTACTGGGCTGCCCACTGTAGGGACACTGAAACTTCAGCGCCTAGGCGCTGTCATGTGCTGTCATCCACTGAAGGCCAGGGGTCAGCTCCTTCCATCTCAGCGCATTGGGGAGGACCGAGCGCGTCATTGTACCTACGAAGGTGGGCTTGAGGTTGCATCCCGCGCATCGTCCACGTCGACGCTGCCCCCTGGTAGCCCCAAGTCACAGCAGTTGCAACCTGGTCAGCTTCTTTCTTTGGTGTCCGCAACACCATACATACCGACACACACATCACGGCAAACTCTGCGCGCCCAAGACCAGGCCAGGCCACGGCCGAATGCATTCCATCCACAGCCATCACTCACTCGACGACGACCATCACCGCTGGAGGCCTCGATGGACGCCGACGAAAACTCTAGACCTGCGAGTCGCGACTCCGAGTCGCGCCCCTCGACAGCCCACCGCGTCGGTGGTTCCTCCTCATTCCTCGGCCCCGCTGATTTCGACGACTCGACCGTATCGCCAGTAAAAGGGGGGAACGATAAGACAGACGATGATATTCCTGGGCGGTCAGGCAATGTGACACCCCTCCGACGAAACGACTACCCCTCGCTGCCGCCCGCAAACAATGCCCCTGAGGTCAGCTTTGTTGAGGGTGCGACCTTTGACGACACCCGCCACGGCGACGATCATGCCGAAACTGCCGTCCGAGCCCATCTTCAGGATGTCGAGTCAAGCTTCATGTCGCGCCTGTCGCCTCTCCCGACTGTGACAACCACAGGCGCCGACGACACTTATCTGTTTGATGGTGCCTCTTCCGGCCGAACCAAATCACCAACAAATCGACCCTTCGCCCCAAGAGCTCACACCGACAGCGGCCGGCCCGAAAACGAACTGCCTCAATTGCGACCCAACAGTGTCCACACTGCCGATGTCAGCAACACGACCTCTTCACTCGAAACTCTCTCTTCCTCCCCGACAGCCGCAGCAGCCCGGCGGACCGTGTCCCGCGCACTCTCGAGCCTCAGTAATGACCCTCGACGCCAGACTTCTGCCAACCTCGCCCACAGCGCTGAAGCGACCGACGATGACCAGTCCGGCGCTGACTTTTCCATGTCGCAGTCTGACGCCTCAGGCGACCAGAGCACGGATAGGGGCTCCGTAGATGTCGGCAGTACCCCAGGGCATGCACTTCGATACGGTAAGCGGCCCAAGTACCTTCGCAGCCGCGGCACAAGCCAGCGTTCCTCGACATCCTCATTCGTCACGAACCCCGAGTCCCACGACGATCTCGACAGCGAAGGCATGGCGGGGCTCGAAATTGACTATGCTCTACAGTCGGGCGGTGCTACTGGGCCCATCATGTCTCGTACCATGAGCAACATACTCTCGCGCACCGTGAGCATGGGAAGCATGGTCTCGGGCATGGGCATAGATGATACTCCGGAGCCTGGCGCGACGCCTTTGGAGACGCTGGAGGAGGTCGAGCGATCCCCACACAATAGGCCCCTGAATGAGGACCTCATGAAGACGCCAAAGCCTTCCAAGGAAAATCTTTCGGCGCCGACCGACACAGTGATCGCACGTCACGTTAGGAACGTCCATGTGCCTGAGTCCCTGGCCAAGGAGTACCGAAGTAAAAGCGGACTCACAACGCCACGAAAACCCTCCGACATGACGCTTGTGGGTTCCGGCCGCTCAGGGAAGAACCTGACGCTCAAGGAACAGAGCAGTACCATTGAACGTCTGTCCAAGGAGAATTTTGATCTCAAGCTCAAGGTCATGTTTCTCAGTGACCGTCTTGATAAGCTTTCCGAAGAGGGTGTTAAGGAGATGATCTCCGAGAACGTCGAGCTCAAGACGAGTCTTGCCGTCGTCACGCGGGACAATAAAGCGCTTCGGAGACGCGTCAGAGAGCTAGAGAAGAAGCTCAAGGAAGACGAAGACCGTCCGAGTACGGCGCGGAGCGGCGCATCATCCAATGACCAGACTGCCCACTTTTTTGACCACGAGGCGAACGAACGTGAAGAGGAGCTCATCTACTTGCGAGAGCGCGTTGAGGAGTACGTCACGGAGATTGAGCGACTCAAAAATGACAGCATGTCTAAAGAGGCGGAGAAGCGCAAGTTGACTGAGGTGGTCAAGTCGCTCGGGGAACGCACTGGCGAGAATCTCGGTCGACAGGAGGAGGCTGATGTCTGGAAGGATTTGCTGGAGCAGGAGACCGCCCGGCGCGAGCAGGCCGACGAGGACAACAAACGCATGCGTGATGAAATCTTCCGCCTGAAGCAGGAGATGACTTCTTCTCATGGAGGGAGTGGTGGCGGTCTGCATCACACGACAAACATTTACAATATTACGAAGAAGAATCGACAGGTATCCCCGAGCCGCCCGATATCCGCCTCTCGGGCGATTTGGACTCGAACACCAATGGTGGGTTCAGCAGCACGGCGCCAACATTGGTTGAGGAGTTGCGTCGTGAGAGCGAGCAGCTGCGACACGAAAATGCCGAATTGCGACGCGAAGTTGGCGCTCAGACGTCCATGCTCACGTCCAGGAATCGCGAGAAGGAGCGTTTGTACCAAGAAATCGAGGACCTCAAAATCGCCCAACGCCGCGGCGGACCCGCCCTGTCGGCAGTTGACAGCTTGCTTGAGCGGTCAGCGTCCCGGGCTGGCGGCCATCATCGGTCCATGTCACGCACTAGCATTTCAAGGACGCAAATCACCGAAGCCGACGAAGCCGAGAGGGAGCAGCTCGAAAACGACCTCTCGGAAGCTCGTGATCGAATCAACGAGGTCAAATTGCACAACCAGGAACTGCAGAGGGAGCTCGACGGCTGCATGGAAGACTTTGAAACGGCAGTTGACGCCAAACAGCAAGCCGAAGAGGCTGCAACGGCTCTGCAAGAAGATCTAGAAACAGCTATGGCCGATCTTGTTGCACTGCAGGCCGAGCGCGATGAAGCCCTCCGAGAACAAGCGGACATGGAAGCCGAGTTTGAGGCACTCCGGAAAGAAGCCCAAGAAGAAATTGACGCGCTCGAGAATGAAGCCGATCAAAAAGGAGAGGAGATGCAGCGACTGCAGTTGGACCTCAGCATTCGGTCCTGAGAACTTTGAGGCTCTCCAGAAAGAGATGCGGGATATGAGCGAGCGATAGTCCGGCTCGAGGACGAGCACGAGACTAAGTTCCAGCGCATCCAGCAGCTTGAACAAGACCTT